CCGGCCCTTGCCTTCCCTTCCGCCCGCGCAGCGCCCGAGGGCGGCTGGCTCAGCGCCGACGAGTCCTCGGGCTACGAGAGCGAGAGCGCCGCATCGGGCACGGCCTCCCCGCCGCAGCCCCGCCGCCTGCGCACCGCCTTCACCTCCACGCAGATCTGCCAGCTGGAGAAGACCTTCAAGCGGCAGAAGTACCTGGGCGCCGCCGAGAGGAGGAAGCTGGCAGCCGCCCTGCAGCTCTCCGAGGTCCAGGTGAGCCCCGCCAGCGCTCCCGCCTGCTGCGGGCGCCCCGCTGCGCCCTGGCTCTGGGCAGCCCTCTCCCGGGTTGCGCTCTACCTCCTTACCCGGCTGTCTTTTGTATGTGGCCCCTTGTTAGACTCAAAATTTGGGCTCTGCCTGACTTGGGGGGGGGCACGCTCCTGAGAGCTGCTGTGGTCCCAGTCCTGCCTGCACTTAGGCTGGGAATGGGCCCTCTGGAGGGAACAAGGCTTGCCCCCAGTCCACGAACCTCGGGTTTGCGTCCTGATGAAGTCCTCTCCCTTCGCCCTGGGATAGGGTTGCCAGCTGTCCAGGATTTCCCTGGAGTCTCCAGGAATTAGATATAAATCTCCAGGAGACTGCTGGGAGTCACCCAGGAGATAAAGGATAGGGCATTCATTAAAATAAATATTAAATGGTTGAATCTGATTTATACAGTAGTCCAGTGGGTTTTTCAAATGTAAAAGTAAAGTGCATTTGCCTTCCTGGCATAAATTCTGTGCACTATAATTAATGTCATTATGTCATGTGATGAAAGCTCCCAGAAGAGAGTCAAACTACCCTGGGAGCAGATTCAAGCACTGTTGTCAGTCCTTTACAAGACTTACCTCCTTGCAGCAGCCACCTTAGCACGTTAGGGCTTCATGGTTCAGACTAAAGGGGATTGGCTCTGAACTTAGCACCCCAGGTGGCTCACAAAGTGGTGGCATCCTTAAATAGAAGGATGTTCAATTTCTCCTTTAGGGATGTGCACTGTGTAGAATGGGGGGATCTTGCTGTGAGAACATGCCACTCACTGAGGAGCTTCCAGGCTGGATCTGTGGTGTTACCCAGAGATTACACGACATGAAAGCCCCTTCAGTTGTTCAAACGGGTGCTGCCAGCCAAGTAACTTCAAGCTCTAGTAAATGTACTGCAGTTTTGGGGTTCAGTTTGGGGTCTTCTGAATTAACAATGGTTTATAAATAACTTCTGGGCAAGATCTCTGACTCTTCTGCGAATCTTGTTTTCTTTAGGTCAAAACCTGGTTCCAGAATCGTAGGATGAAGCTTAAGAGGCAGATACAAGACCACCACCATAGCCTCCTGCCTCCAGCTCCTTTCTACAGCTATAGCCAAGGGACCCCACCAACTCTGCTACAGGATTATTCCCACTATCCTCTTGGCCCACAGCAGCAAAGACTCCTGCCTTTAACCCCAAGTCCTGCTTTGCAGTTCAACTCTTCCTTTCAAGTATATGACTTGCCACAAAATGCATCATATGGGCTTGTGGCACATGATCTGCCTTATTACCATCAACACTTTCTACCACAACTCTCCCTCCTTCCAGTTTTTCAAAACAAAGTGGAAGACCAGCAATTTAACTCTCTAACGACACTATAACCATGCCTGTATGTCAGATATGGAACAAGTATATGGTACACTGTAGGCTTTAATTGTACGTAAAATGTTTGGCTTGATATCAAGTTAAAGGTTCATAACTATACAGGCTAATTCTAATTGTATTTAACTGATATTAAAACCTGTTAAATGTATTGCAATTTAGTATTCTAGTTATCATTCCTGGATGTATATTCACTCTTTTTTTGAAGATTTTTGTGTTGTAAGATTCTGTTGGACTGTACGGTTCTTTTAATGAACAGGAACTTTTAAAGGACATATTTTAATAGCTATCAATTCTACATTGCCAAGTAGGCAGTGCTTGCAGGGAACAATTAAAAAATGGAACTAGTATTACCTTTGGTGAGACCTAGCTAGGTATTAATGTGCAAGATCTTTTATATCCTGATTCTTGAAGCTGATGAAAGGAAATCTGAAGTTAGTAGTTTTTGGTAAGACTGGAAGTTCAGAAGCTGTATTTTGGCCTTTTATTTGTTTTATATCACCATAATTCCTAGGTAGTCTTATGTGGAACAGTGGGAGAACAGTTAAAGTTGTTTCCTCATGTCTTGCTAATCTGGGGATGGAAGTTACACATTGTGTTTACGTTTCATTTCCTTCATGAAAATGAATTTAAAAATTTAAATGAAAACTAAAAGTCTAAGAGAATTAAAATACATAGCTTTTTTTAGTTTGGCTTCTTCATGATTGCATGTAAATTCATGACCTAAAGTATAGGAGGGGTCAGAGTGCTGGTCAATTAGTTATTTTTTCATACACATACTTTAGCCTAATATTTTGCATTTCAATTATGCACTTTACAGTACCCTCTAAGGACATTTTTAAATCAGTTCACAATGCATTTTTCTCATTTATCTACATTGGTAACTTATTGTGTATTTAAAATAATTTGATGCAAACTAGTTCTGAAATTAACAGGACCTTTTTAAATAGTATGAATTTTTATGTGCAGAAAGCAGAGCAGGGTCTCACTCTGCCCTGACTTCTATTAAAACTTCAGTCCAAAAGAGCTAACTAACTCTGTAGGTGTGTGGGCTTGTCTACATGAGACACTTAATACACAGTAACCTCATAACACCACACAGTAGCTTGCTCAGCAAAAACCATGCTAATATGCTACTGTGCAGTAGTATTAGGCTACCGAGCAGTGTCACTAAAAACTGGGCCAGCACTACTGCATAGTAACCTAGTTACTTTGCATTTCGGTACTACTTCATTAAGCAAGTACTAAATGTGGAGCAACTACTGTGCATTAATGAATGTGTAGCCATGCCCTGTGTGTGTGTGTGTGTGTGTGTGTGTGTGAAAAGTCTTGTGAGCCTGCTGTGGTAGGTAGATAATTGTATTGCCTCTTTAGGGGGGTGAGAGATAAGATGCTGTAATTTGCTTCTAGCTGATTTCACTGGGAGTGGCTAAGTACTTGGAACTCTTGAAAACTGGTTTTAGAACTGCATAAGGATTTAGGCTCCTCTATTATAGAAAAAGATTTAAGCCTTAGTGTGATTAAATTCCTCATTCTTAAATGGAGTTTTAATTTTTATGTTTGGCAACAATTCAACAGAAGGTAATTGATTTGTTCATGTCATTTCCATAATTTGTACAGTGGAAACAGTTTAATTCTCCCTTTAAAGACTTTTGCTATGATTGCTTCATAATTTTAGGCTCCTTAGCTAATAGCTATACTGTTTTGTCCCCCTCCCTCTCAGAGTGGCTGCATGGGTGGGTGGAGGGTTGGTGGTGACAGCTTATGGTCTTCATTGCTGAGGCTTATGAAGAAAGTTGTGTTCTTTGATTCAAGCTGGTTTAACACAACTGAAACTTCATCAAGGGGCAGGGTAGCACAGCTGGAGCCCTGTTAGCTCTTCAGTATGTAACTTTGATTGTCCTCCACCCACCCTCCCGGCTCCTTACTGCAGGCTCATCTCAAACTCTTAATAGAGCTTTTCAAGTATGATTAACTCCATTAAAAACAAGCCCTGACCTTGTCCAGAAAGGGCTAAAGGGAGTGGGAATGCAAAACTTTAGCTGTTTTCATTCAAGTCAGCTGAATACAATTGAAATAACTACCAAGATCAAGCTAGGTTCTAACACCACCAATTCACAGGGCTTCAAACAGGCTAGTCTGCATCTGAATAGGGCCTTTGGGTTTATCTTAATCTGACTGAGAAGCATGTCCTGCCAGCCCTTAGGCACTCCAGGCAGGGTAGCTGTGTATCAGAGGCTGCAGATAGATGAAAGCCAGGCTTCTCATGTGGGAACTGAGCCTTTGCAGCAGCACTCCCCTCTCCCACTTCTCTCTAGCAGCCTGTGTGGAGGGTGGGAGAGGGCTCTAGCAGAATGAGGTATGCAGAGGAATTTGTCTTGTACCTCCCCCCAACCCACCCCCAGCTCTGTCACTGGTTTATCTACTTGAGACGGAGGCAAAGCAAGGAAGGTTAGCTCAAGATTTGCTCTCTGGGGTACAGGAGGGAGAAGAAGCAACCAGCAGACTCTAGAGTACCCCTCCCCTGCTCCCCTGCCATCCTAACCCCTGAACCAGGGTGCTGCAGGTTGTGGCTACCTGGGGGGAGGAGGGGCAGTGGAAACAGGACATTTTTATGAGGAAGGTGTTTTCTCTTGGGGAAGTTGTAAAGTGGGAAGAAAATCTGAGTTTCAGGCATCCAGTTCCTGGCCTCAAGTATGTTGGAGGGGAGGAGGGTCACAGCTGGGATGAGTATGGGAGCTCCTTTCTTGTCTCTAGTTCTCCCACAAACATCCTGCCATCATATTTAAAATCTGTGTCCTTTGCATTCCTCTTGCACCCCCTTCATCATAACCCATCTTATGATACTTCTTTAATTCTTCCCCTATTGCCAGTACAGTTTGCATCTGTCCTTGCTTTCTTCCATCCCTAGCTTTCCCCACTTCTACATCCCCAGCAGGAGTTCTCTCCCCAACCCATCACCATCAGACTCTCATTTCTGTTAGTCTTCCATGTTCTGCCATGTTCCAAGGTGGTGTTGCTCTGGCCCATCTCCCACTGTGGTATGTTAAGCACCTGTCTGGTAGATATAGGCAGCAGCAGACAATTGCGGGGTGTAGAGGCAGAGAATGGAGGAGACTGACTTCCTGCAGAGAAGGGCTTCCTAGCTAGCACTGTATACAGAATGTGTGTATGTAACTACTAATACTTAGGCCGGTCCCTGAAACTTTAGAATTGATCAACTGCCATGTTCCAAGGTGACACTGCAAAGAACTATCACAGCATTATTAATCCACCTCTGCTCAGCCCATATGTTAAAGAATTGAACCCCTTTTTTTGAGCTTCACTCTTGCACAGGTTTATATAGATATAAAGATGCAACAGTGCATTATATTGCCAAAATTAATTCATAGTTTTAAAATATTCCATTTTCCTGATACATCATACCATCTGTTTCAAGTTTATGTATGAAAATACTAACTAACTGGATTAATCCAAGTGTCAGCTACTTATGTAATACAAAACTTCCCTTATTTGCTAAAATTATATTCGTTTCCTGAGATTATTTGTTTACTTAAGGCTCAGAACACCAAGAAATATGGATACTATTTCTATCTTCCGAAGACATTGCACAATATATTGCAAGATAAGTCACTTCTCTAGCTTAAGATATCCTGCATTTTGTCACCATTTTCACTTCAATGCAACCATTATCATTAAAAAGAAAAGCAATATTAAAAACTTCCCTTAGAAATTGCTCTAAAACAATTGCTTTAACACACATGTATGTGCACATACACAAAAACCTATTGTCACAGACAAGGTAC